ATTTTATATTAGGTTTACACAAATGTATATTCTGTAAAGATGTAAACAATTTCAATATTTTAAAGAAACTGAAGAATAATATATCTCTTAAAAGGGGAAAAATGGAAAATATTTTCTCCTCCAGCTGATCTTCCCCAGACTCTGGGAATGACAGGTTGGCTGATGTAGCTTCACATCAAATTTAAATGGCGAGTTAACGCTCGAATATTTGCTTGGAAGGAACTAATTCTTGCTACGAGGATGGCGGTCTGAAGGTAGGAACCCAGTAATGGGACGTCACACTTCTCCTGTAAGACATTGTGAAGACCAAGCAGCCCCTGTACTGAGAAAATGCCCATAGTTCAAAACCAACGTATACCTGTGAGCTTTGTCGGGAATGGTTAAAATCTGATATCTTCATAAATTAATGAATTTGAATCTTCTCCATTTGTATAGAGAAAATTTTTAAATTCGTTTCATTAATGTATTTTGAAATAAATATAATTAATTATGAAAAAGGAATCCCCTTATCGTGCAACTGAGGATTGATGATGTCTTGCGCCATCTATCGGAATAAATTTGAACTATTCTCGTTGATTTCTAATTATTCCAGAATCGGCCAATTTCCCATTCTTGATTAATCAAGAAAAGCTAACAACGTACGCGTTTCGGGATATATTTTCCTAATGTATGCACCTTATCCCAGTGCAATATCACATTTGTACTGTTTTTTCACAAGTATATGTAAGTTTTGAAATAGCGACATTCCATCGAATGGTTCTCTCTAGTTCCTTCACCGCGTTGATTTACACGGGATAGGAACGGCTTTATTGCTGAAGTTTTATTCTTAGGATTTCAAATATGGGTTTAAACATGTATATATACCTGCATATATATATGCTATGAAAATAGAAAATAAATATATAATTTACAACATATATGCTCTAGAACAACTCTGTTAACTCAGAGAGAGCCGTTTTTTATACTATATTGATCTATTGTTGTTGTTTTGGCTTTTGGCCGGCACAAACCCTTTGTAAATATGTAAATTGGTAACAAAGAATATTTTCTTTCGTCTACTCTCACGTCAAGTATTTCTTTCTACCTCTTTCTCTCTTTTCATTTTGAAATTATATTTATAAAATTATTATATTTTGTATTTTTCAAAAAGGTTCACGACTGAATAACATTGGCAAAATACTCTTATATTGAAAGAAAATAGTCCAAATTTACGTAAATACGCTGTTCATGTGAAGAGATAAAATATTTATTCTATTTTTGTTGAGCGGTTATATATAATGTGGTTAAATATATAATATTTAGATAATTAATAAACATATAGCCATTTGTGGCTTCCACTGCGGGTCTCTGGTGGACTGCGAAAGATGTTTCCAACAGAACGATGACATCACTCAGCCGTCGATGGCAGCCACACTTGAGGTCCACAATGCCTCGAGATGGAGGCCGAAGAGCCAGGCTTGACGTTCAAGGGAAGTGTCGCAGGAGGCAAACACCTCCCAGAGCGGGGCAACTCCTGTGTGGCAGCGAATGTACAACGGATGACCTAGGTGACAAACCCGAGACAGGATGATCAGGTAGAGCATGAATACTAAGCCGAAATGCCATTTCTGAGTCTAGATCTACAAGAAGAGAACCTACAAACATCAGTATCACAGCCTTCCAGGATCTACAAGAAGAGAAATTTCAAACATCAGTATCACAGCCTTCCAGAATCTACAAGAAAAGAAATTTCAAACATCAGTATCACAGCCATCCAGGATCTACAAGAAAAGAAATTTCAAACATCAGTATCACATGATTTACAAGAAGTGAACCTGCAACCATCAGTACCACAGGATTCACTAGAAGGAAAGGCCGTCCGCCTGCGACCGCCAGAATCTCTGCCAAAGAGATACCGATCAACAATTTCGAGCCGCGGCGCCCAATAAAAGAAGAGTCGCTGATAAAGTTAATTTGTAAAGTGGCGTTCTCCATCAGGCGCCAGGCTGATTGGCTCTAGCACATGCCCTTGTTAGACTCCGAGTAATTAAACATCCCTCTTCACTTACGAATGGCATGTCTGTACGTTGGCGAATACAAGAATCACATTAGGCCTTCTGTCTAATTGGATCAAATAAACATATATATATATATATATATATATATATATGCTTGAAAATAGAGCAATCCATATATTACAATATTTAAAAATGCCTATTTTGGATCATGAAGTTTTTATTTCCGATATTTCGTGAGGCAACTCGCCAAACTTCCTCTGGGAACAAAATGGCTTTAGAGAAGCTCGCGTATCATTTCGCGAGTATATACAACCGCTATGGAATTTAAATATCTAGAATCTACAATATGCATGCCTCTATGAATATAATAATTAATAATAATATAATATGTAAAACATTAATATATAGAGAATCAAGTAAATATATACATTTAAAATAAACGAATTGAAAATCAGCAATTTGCCATATATATACATATATACGTGTATAGTAGTGGGCTATGTGGTTTTAAATTGTAAGTATAGTTGAGGAATGTCTATTTTTCGGTTGATACTGTTTTTATCTTCTATTGAGCTCCAGCTTTCTAGAAAAAGTCTTGAATGTTTATCCTTGATATTTTGATAAACTATTTCTGTTGAGTCGAAATTTGGTATGTGGTCCTGTTTCAGTGCGTGGTCTACTAAAAGGGAAAGAGGGCTATAGTTTTTAAGGGCTGTCCGGTGTTGATTGGTTCTTGCCCAGCTACATACATAGGAGAGACAAGAAAAACTCTGGAAGAAAGAACCAATCAACACCGGACAGCCCTTAAAAACTATAGCCCTCTTTCCCTTTTAGTAGACCACGCACTGAAACAGGACCACATACCAAATTTCGACTCAACAGAAATAGTTTATCAAAATATCAAGGATAAACATTCAAGACTTTTTCTAGAAAGCTGGAGCTCAATAGAAGATAAAAACAGTATCAACCGAAAAATAGACATTCCTCAACTATACTTACAATTTAAAACCACATAGCCCACTACTATACACGTATATATGTATATATATGGCAAATTGCTGATTTTCAATTCGTTTATTTTAAATGTATATATTTACTTGATTCTCTATATATTAATGTTTTACATATTATATTATTATTAATTATTATATTCATAGAGGCATGCATATTGTAGATTCTAGATATTTAAATTTTATAGCGGTTGTATATACTCGCGAAATGATACGCGAGCTTCTCTAAAGCCATTTTGTTCCCTGAGGAAGTTTGGCGAGTTGCCTCACGAAATATCGGAAATAAAAACTTTATGATCCAAAATAGGCATTTTTAAATATATATATATAGTTAAAAGGGAGAGAGAGAATTACAATATAATATATACAATTTGCATTATATTTCATACCTTTCATATATATTTTAAAATCTTGATTTTTGCATGTTTATATAATATTTTTTACTTCTTTAAAATAATCTTAGAACTTTATATATTATATATCTATTTGTATTTTTCAGATCACATATTATGTCTTCAGTTAAATGCTTTCTTTGACATTGAAATAAAACCGGATAACTGGATTTGACACTAAGTTTTTCTTTATTCATGACAATAATCAGTTTCATTGGCTTCATATTTCTATGTCAAGTTCCATCCAAACTGATTGCCCAGAATGATTGAGGGAGACGTCGTGCTCCATACAATGCAGATAGACTCCGAAACCTATTGGATGTTTTATTTTTTTTTAGTTGAAGGAATGTGTGAGTAACCTTATTTATTCACTCTCTCTCTCTATTCAATATTCTATCTATATTACCATGTCACAAGATCATCGCCTCAGGTGAAGAATGAGTGAGAAGCCTCATCTATCGACTACCTGAAATATTTATAGCTCTATTGTCAATGTAAAAAAATGAGGTTCAAAGTGGGAACATGAGCCTATGCAAGAATGCTAGCAGTGTGGCAGCTAGGGTAATTGGATTGGGAAGTGGCGAATGCTCCCCAGAGGAATTCCCTGTTCTATCGGGCGGATGACCATTTCTTTGCCAGACTTCGCCATGTTTACTCAGGACTCCTTTCTTTAATTACACCCAGTTGTTTGATAAAAGTTCGGCTCTTGTATATCCTTTATTCCCCTTCGACTTTCTTATAAGCCAGTAACATGTTGTTTATTTGGCCTTATTTCTATCTTTGTACGTGGTCCATTTATTTAATTAATTGTGTACGTTTATATATTATTTTAATTGAATCGATAAAACTTTGATAGGATATAGATTTAATTCTGGTAGAAGTTACTGTCATAGTTTCCTCCACGGTAAAGGCTAATTATCTCTATAAAGTCTAATTTGCATATTCTTGGGTGTAGAAATGATCGATTATTACAATATATTCATGAATGTATTCATGTATTCAGTATAATCACCTATTCTAATTGAAACACACCTATCAATTAGGGGTGGACGGGAGATATATATTCCGATAGAACCCGGGACACTCTAATAGAATGTATACTTAGTAAAATATAACTTTTTATTTTCAATAAATTGATAACAGGATCGAAATAGCTTAATCATTTTTTAAATATTTTGATTTACAAGGAAATTTTATAGCGGAAAAACACTTTTGGATCAAATATAAAGATCAAAATTTCAAACTCTTCAATTCTAAATTAAAAAAAAAGGTATGCGACGCTGGGTGTTCAATAAACTAAATATTTAGTGTGTATAAACAAAATTAAAATGAACAGGTCTCAATACCTTTCATTGGCTCTGCTATACGTCTCTCATCCTAACCGGCGTTCGGTTCAACCCACGACGCTAGTTCTGCCTACCGCATCGTGCTCTCGCCCGACGTCATGCAAGCCCCACTTCTCACTATTTGAAGTTTGAGGTCGTTTCGGCCCCTAATGCCTCTAATTATTCGCTTTACCGGATGAGACCGATTTAATGAGCACCAGCTATCCTGAGGGAAACTTCGGAGGGGACCAGCTACTAGATGGTTCTATTAGTCTTTCGTCCCTATACCAAGGTCTGACGAAACCTTCGCCAGGTTTTACACACCACCTGGCAAAATTTCCAAGTCCTCGGCGTAAGTAGCGGTATCAACTGAATTACGTCCAGTCACCATTTAAATTGATCCTCAGTGTTATTTTTTATTTATTAATAGTTTTAAATGGCACAATCCGTCCTAATTATACTATCTTTTCAAGAGGAGTGATCATATTTTGTAACAAATGTTTTATGATTGGTATTACCAATTATGAATTTTGTATATTACATAATTGATTATTACTTCAATCAACACCATCTTTGAGTACAGATAGTAGCCTTAAATGGTACATTTTACTGTCTATTGGTAATTTGGGACACATAATTTCGAGAACTTTATTTAAAATAATGTGAATTTGCCTTATGATCCGGCTTCGCTCGGATTTGTTCCAAATAAATTTTGCCTGATAAACATGTCTTAAACAAATAGTAGTAATCCTTATTATTACTAGTATTAAGAATTGTGATTAAAAGAGGAAAATCGTTATAATATATATCATCATTATATCATAATTTGATTTCTCGAAAAAGGCGGTTTTAGGTTGGTTTAATTTGTATAGGCCTTGAATAGCTTCTATGGAAATCCTATTTACAGATACCTACCTATCTTTGAATTGTAATTTATTTTTCAGCTGCAAAAACAGTTACATCAGAAAATAGTGGTAATATTAATTAAAATAATCATCATTTTTCTAAGTGAAAATATGCACTTCAGACCGTCTTTTAGAAAAATTTGATTTTCAGAATTCGAAGCAACGATATTGACTCCTCCCAGAGGTCTCGTTATATCCTGTTAAAATTTAAAAAGGATGGGTAATATTTAAACACACATACAGCTTTATTAAGACTACCGGTCTTATACAGATTCACTGCAGGAAGGATGCACATATAAAGCTCCTAATCTCCATAAAGCACAGAACCCAACAACAGCCTCCAGGTCCGACGTTGGTCCAGTGGCCACACCGTGCATATGTCAAGGTTAGCGCATCACTGAAAATACGAGAGTGGAATGAGTCAAAATTATTGTAGATTTCTATAAATATAATAAAACACCCACACTTATATTTTATATACATTTATATGTACTAAGTACAATTCCTAACCTGCAACCCCAAAACACATTATTGACTATATTGACTCATCCATTGATGAGCTCTACTCTTCCCCAGCAGACACCATCAACAAACTCTACAAGCTTGATACCCTGATATGATTGAGTGGAGATAAGAAAGAAGAAAAGAAGATATACATTTATATATATTAACATGGATATATATAGATATAATATATTTTCTATAAAATACCTCTTTTTCCTTTTTTAACTCTCTCTTTATCTTTATTTAATCTTATATATTTATATTTATTTACATTTATTTTGTATTTAACCTTATATGATCGATGTTCAAGATACATATGAGTCATGTCATTTAACTTCAAACAATCGTATAAACCTTTCAATTATTATGCTCTATCTGGGATTACTATCAATCATTATTAATTTGAGAATGTTCTAAAATAGATTCCATGAAGATTTCGAAACCCCCGGGGTGTATAGCTCGAGGGGGTCTGTTTATCTCCACCTGAGGACTCTAGAGGCTGACGAGATAATGCCGGAAGTAATCCACGGGGAAAACATATCGATTATAATTCATTAAAGGGAAAGTTTACCGCGGTGTGTGTGCTTATACAATGTTTCTATAGTTCCTACTAAAGCATGATGCTGCAGGAGAATGATATTCATGTACCTAAGGAGGCACCTCTCTCTTTAATTCTGCATCGGTACGATTTGAGAATTTCTCATATAAGGTCAAAGACTGTTTAATTAGGCGTCAAATATTCCTATATCCTTACTACAAGATGCTCACCAGCAGTTTAACCTATAGTCAATTTCATACCTGTTTTTCGAATAGATTATTAACCAGTCACTATATTGTGTAGAAGAAATAATTTATTATTTAATTTAATATTATTCAATGAAAATAATCAACAGATTACAAAAATATATATTACTCTGTATTTGTAAAATCATCTTTTTAAAAAAATGTTTGTTTGCTTGTTCAAGATTCTTTAACTGTAGATAGTTTGGTTAATTTTGTTAATATTTGTCGACCGATCGTGGTGACGTTATCAATAAATACTTTCACACCTTCAGATATACAAAGATTTGATTTCTACGCTACAATATATTTACCTGAAATCACTGAATGAAGAAAGGAAATTACTCTTTAATAATACGAGCGCTAATCATTTATCACTCTGCTGTCAGAAACGGTGAAAAGTAGACACAATAGATTTATACAAATTTTGTGAGAAGACGAGAAGGATGAGAAACAGGTGTAAATATTTTTCTTTTCTTATTTTTTTGGGCTCATGTTGAATTGTATATAGTAGTTGATTTATGTTCAATTAAAACGATTGCTATACTGGGAGAATGCTGTGTGGGGCTTGATCCCTAATGAAGGTTTGTGTGTGAATAGTTTATTAAATATGCAAAGTGATCACTACGTGAATTGGCAATTCCCTCGTGTGTATCGATATTAATCAAGAAGAAAAACTAATATTCCCATTCGAAAACTAATAAATATATACAATTTTAAATGATAATACACTGCGTGACATTGAAAATGGAACACCAAGAAATAGTGGCCAGAAAATTATGCAAATTTCAGGGTAGACGCGCCTAACCGAGTTATGCAAATGATGTAAAATGCGCAGCTCTCGTGCGCACTTGGAGTAAGATATAAGGGAAGGAACTTGCAGAAAGGACAGTATTCGTGTCGTTATTTCTTCAAGGAAAATCATTGTAGAAATTTTGTTCTTGTGTCAAAAGACACGTGTAATAACAGAGAATGCCAGGTCATCGTAAACGGAGGCAGTTCAAGCAGACAGACGCTTTTACGAGGGGCATGGTGATCGGACTGAAAAGGGCAGGTTGGTCCATACGTCAAATCGCAGCTGATACACACCTTGGTGCGTCCACGGTGCACCGACTGTGGAGAAGATGGTTGGAACAAGGAAATGTGGCAATTTATAGGAATGTCGGTGCAACCAGAGTGACGTCAGCACGTGTGGATCGGCGTATCCTTCGACAAGCAGTGGCGGCCCCACAAGCCACTTGTACCGCCATTCTGCAACATGTGCAAGACACCCTAGATCATTCCATCTCGACCAGAACCATTTCCCGTCGATTGGTTGCTAATGGCTTGCACTCATGCCGTCCGCTAAGAAGACTGCCATTGACCCCACCAAATAGGCGCCAACGTTTGGAATGGTGCCGGGCTAGATCGACGTGGATGACGGAATGGCACAGGGTCGTGTTCTCAGATGAGTCGCGTTTCTGCTTGTCCAGTGATAGTCGCCGTGTACGCGTGTGGCATCGACGTGGAGAAAGGTCCAATCCGGCAGCAATTGTGGAACGCCCCACCGTGCGACAACGTGGAATCATGGTTTGGGGCGCAATCGCGTATGATTCCAGGTCACCTTTACTTCGTATTCAGGGCACTATGACGGCCCAACGATACGTTGATGATGTGCTGCGACCGGTGACACTCCCCTACCTTCAGGGGGTACCCAATGCCCTTTATCAGCAGGATAACGCCCGACCGCACACTGCTCGCATTAGCCAACAAGCTCTGCAAGATGTACAGATGCTTCCCTGGCCACCGTACTCTCCTGATCTCTCACCAATCGAGCACGTCTGGGACATCATTGGACGCCGTTTGCATGCCTTGCCACAGCCGCGTTCAGAAGACGAACTGTGGCAAATGGTTGAGAGGGAATGGAGAGCCATCCCTCAGGACGCCATCCGTACTCTGATTGACTCTCTACCTAGACGTGTTGCTGCGTGCATCGCCGTCCGCGGTGGTCCTACTTGCTACTAAGCCGACGCCGTTCTCGCTCTGTATTATGACTATCATTTTGAAATAAAGATCACTTATTGTTCGTCCCTGTCTCTCTCTGTCTGCCGAGTTTCATCACTTTCTGGCCACTATTTCTTGGTGTTCCATTTTCAATGTCACGCAGTGTATATATTTACATTTTCAAAGCGATAATATAATATCTATAGCATAATTATACTTTAAATTAATTCTAATGCGTGGTTCATAAATGCTTCAAGTTTTGAACTAGGCTTGAATTGATATAAAATTGTTTTAGAAAAAAAATGAATCAATTCTTGAAATCAAGCTAAATTTCCTCCAATATAACACAAGATGAGACCAATCTATTGGGGAATTAAATGAATTAAAAACAGCTTGAAGTCAATATATTTTATTTTTATTGATTAACCGTTTGTTTGTACAAAAAGAAATGATTCGGTACATTAGATTTAAGCGTTTTTATCGAGATTTTCGCTAAAAATAAATTTATTTTCAATAAATATGGAATATCAATTTAATTTACTCCATTACCATCCATTTGTCTGCATTCTGTTGATTCCACATAAATGGAGATTTAATTTAGAAATTTGTCTACATAGCATAATCTTTTTTTTCTCGTTTGTGATATATATTTTCTTATGTCGAGCTATATTCAAATGGGGTAAAGACCATTATACATTGATGATTATATTGGGGTTTAAGCAAATATAAATACAATTTGTAGAAATACAAATTTGTATAATAATACCTCTTCAAATAAACTTTGATTTTCTATTCAAATTTTAAAATTATGAACTAAAAAGCCCTAATTTTTTATTTGAAAATATTTAAATATAATTGTTTGATTCATTTTACATTTTATTTTCCGGATAAAAAAAAAAATATAAAATAATTTCTTATTCTGTACTTGTTAGCTAAATTTCTTTTCCACCATTGTATAGAAAAATGAACAATTAATGGCCACTTTGAGTTTTATAAAAACTGACCTTTGATGAGACAATAATTATTGAGGTAAAATTAGATAATTATAATCATCAAAATAGAGACAATGTTGTATATGTATTTTAAGTTCAATTAATCAATTTTTCTCACAGAGTATGTGTGTGAGATCACAAGTAAATAGGCGCTAACCCGAAGAAGAAAAATAGAGGTTTCTCTTTGTTCACTATGT